AAAACAAATATCTTTATGTCACTGTCAGTGAAAGAAAACGATCTATTATTCCGTAAAGGAATTTTTTGGAAAAGTTTAATTTTTATGGGAGTTTGGCCTGTTTGGCAAGTTCGGATTATTAGGAGAGAGAGAGAGAGAGAGAGAGACAGACAGACAGACAGACAAACAGAGACAGACACACATTATTTAATTTTATTTATGTTCGTCTTTACCAATAACACGAGAGGGTCTCTCGACGGTGGTGTTACTGTGCAATAGATTGGTCAAACTCGTTGTGGCAACATTTGTTTTGGTGGAATCGTGGGCAGAGGATTTGATTTGTATCATGTCAGCCGCTGTGAGGAGGAAGGGAATGGAGGGAATGTGAGTGTCAGGGGAAAATAAATAAGAGGGGTTAAGAAGGGATTGCAGGGAAATGGGAGAGGATAGAATAGGAATGTAGAGGATCAGTGTAGATAAGAGTTAGGTGGGGATCGTAAGGGATGGTTTGGGATGGGAAGGGGATGAATAACAAGGAATATGTACGTTTTATATATTATTCACAAACTTGAAAACCAAGTTATTTATTATCTTGTAAGTACGTGAATTATTGGTCTACTTTCCCGTAAAATGAGGGAGAATGTGAAAAACACGATGAATGAGGAATGGGAAACAGGATAAATAAGGTATAAACCTTACTAACAGATACTCATAAATTAGTTTAGAAAGACACGCAAGCAAACACTAGGAAGTTTTCTAATATGTCCTAGTGTTTGCTTACGTGTTTTTTAAACTAGAAAAAAGAATACACTAAGTTAAGGGTTGCATGTCGCCTTATCTTTTCTCTTAACACTGAATTTCGCAGTACACAGTTGCTGGATTTCCCGTTGATAAACCTCTAATTGGCTGTCTTGCTCCTGGGCTGTACTCACCTATTTGTACTCACCTATTTGTGGTTGCAGGGGTCGATTCATAGTTCCTGGCCCAGCCTCTTCGCTGATTGCTACTAGGTCCTCTCTCTCCCTGCCCCATGAGCTATATCATACCTCGCCTTAAAACTATGTATGGTTCCCGTCTCCACTACGTCACTTTCTAGGCTATTCCACGGCCTGACTACTCTGTGACTGAAGAAATACTTCCTAACATTCCTTTGATTCATCTGAGTCTTCAACTTCCAATTGTGACCTCTTGTGTCTGTGTCCCATCTCTGGAACATCCCGTCTTTGTCCACCTCGTCTATTCCGCGCAGTATTTTATATGTCGTTATCATGTCTCCCCTGACCCTCCTGTCCTCCAGTGTCGTCAGGCCGATTTCCCTCAACCTTTCTTCGTAGGAAATCCCCGTAGCTCTGGGACTAGTCTTGTTGCAAACCTTTGCACTTTCTCTAATTTCTTGACGTGCTTGACTAGGTGTGGATTCCAAACTGGTGCTGCATACTCCAGTACTCCATACATCTGTGTCAGTTGTATTGGATACAGACCTTTGGCTGTTGTTGCGAAGTGGGGAGGTTATATTACAGAAAGTGAATGAGGGAAAGGGGGGGTAAAGGGTGTGTGTGGGGGGGATTGGGGAATATCACAACGTAATGACTGGTGGATAGCAAACTCGTGCCAACGTTTCGCTCTAAAAGTAGAGCGAAAAAGTTGCCACGAGCTTGCACATTTCCTTCGTTACTGTTGGAATTAACACCGCCTTCAATATTCAGATTTCTAAATCCATCTAGAGGGTAACTAACCTAGGACTAAATGTAAAATATCAATAGGTGTTTTAAGCCTATCAACTGCACCAGTGTACTGTATATACACCAGCATACACAATACACAGAGAAATACACCTCTTGGTGCGCATATCCCCTATGATAAACTGTCTCTTACATTTGATTAATGGGATTTAAAATCTTCACGAGGGTCATTAAGGCCACAGGAAACCTGTAGACCATCAAAGAATACTTTAACATACTTTAATCGCTTCAGGGTGTATATACACCTAGAAGCATACACTTCTCGGTGTATAAACACCTAGAAGCATACACTTCTCGGTGTATAAACACCTAGAAGCATACACTTCTCGGTGTATAAACACCTAGAAGCATACACTTCTCGGTGTATAAACACCTAGAAGCATACACTTCTCGGTGTATAAACACCTAGAAGCATACACTTCTCGGTGTACATGAAGCATAAAAGATCACAGTCCCCTCTTAACACATAACAAATAATGACCTCTTAAAAATAGCCTTAAGAAAGCGAACTTATCAACACCGTGAAAGTATTTTTCGCTTAGCTGTTATTACAGTAAACACGCGATATAATATATCATAACCGGACACTACGGAGACTATTATTATTAGTATTATTGCTATTATTATTATTACTGTCATTATATTATTATTATCGTAGGAGAATGCTGAACTCGTAGTGTTGTATGTATATCCTGGGGGAATGGGAGGCATTCAGGTTCGATCCGTGGAAAGGGAGCAATGGTCCTATACCTTGGATCAAGAGCCTCTCCAGCGGCTGGAGACTTATTAACGAGAGCCAATTCATTAATTCTATTATGTTTGGCTCCTCATTTAGGTGTGCAATTATAAATAATTGACGAATAATTAGACCCTTGCTTCTGTTGCTGTCTTCTGTTGCTGTCTTCTGTTGCTACGTTCTTTTGCTATGTTCTGTTGCTGTCTTTTGAGCTGCTCCTCTGTTTCAACGTTTTTCTGACGTTGTAATGCCATGTTACGTTACAGTGACTGCTTCCTTACAATACCGCTATCGTAGTCTTTCGTTATAATGGTTATCTTACGGTGCAGCAATTTTCGTTACGACGGTAAAATTTATACACCTTAACTATTTCTTACACTCTCTTTATTAATTCTCCTCGTAAATGGATCTATTTTATTGCATTTCAACGCTTTTGTCTGTTTCAGTTATTGTTCTTACAATTAGCCATGATTTATCTTATAATTTGCAATTATCTGTTTACTCCCGAATTGTAGTCTCACTTAAGGCTCGATTTGGAGTCTTATCTGAGGCTCGAACTGGAGATTTGCTTGAGGATCGAATTTGGGTCGTTTCCGTTATGAGCCGTGGGCTCTAACACTGAGCAGAGTTTCATAGAGCTCTCCACAGAGCAACAAGTCCCATTAAGAGCTGTTTTGCAACACATTTTTTGTCCTCACTGCCGTGGAAAGTGTAACTTGCCAGTTATCACCATCGTTGTCTAAATCTGATAACTTTCCGAACTGCTCGATACTTTGCAGTGATCAGTCATTGACTGAGGAAGCCTACTCCACGGGCGAAACATTCCAGAACATAAGGAACACCGCAGGAGGCCTACTGGCCCATGTGAGGCAGGTTCAACTTTCCCACCGGCTTAAGCCAATGCCTTAACCTAGTCAGGTCAGGTCACATTCACTTAAGGGAGGATCAAGGCATCTGATCTAGTAGCATAAGCTAGCCAGGTCCAACTCACACCCACCCACACCCACTCATGTTCCCACTAATCCTATTGTGACTCACGAAATGGTTATAACACAACTGCAAGCAAACCAGGGAACGGGTGGGGTTTTAAACCCATGGCGAGTGAGTTTTACGACTCAATCGCCACGAGTTCAACCCCTCACATCCGTTCCGTGGTTGATTCCCATTAGGTTTATCCTCTCCACTTTCCGACCTTGCACCATTGTACTTCGTAACAATGTTAAGGTGATCAGTTACGTCTTTCAACTGGAGGGGAAGGTGGCAGTGATGGATAGACGTCATAAAACGTAAACTGAAATCCACTTTCAATCTTCTCTTGCTTCGGCGTTCACAAAATTGCTAAAAAAAATTTCCCGGTTTAATTTTAAACCACGATGAGGGAAGCATTTAAACCTGACAAGATGATGTGTTGTTGTACATCATTTTAGTGAGTTTTAAGGCACTTTCAAGGGGAGAGGGTCCCTTGATACTGATGAAGGGCCCTTGATTCAAGGTACTGGAAGTATTCTTCACTTTTAAGGATCGAACTTAATTGTCTCTCGTTTCTAGAGTGTTGTATGACCCAACAGCTTTACTGTTTTCACACTGTAGTAGTAGTAGTAATAGCAGCAGCAGCAGCAGCAGCAGCCAGCAATAACAGTAGGAGCAGCAGCAGAAGCAACAGTAGTAGTAGGAGCAGCAGTAGCAGCAGTAACAGTAGGAACAGCAGCAGAACAACAGTAGTAGCAGTAGGAGCAGCTGCAGCAGTAGCAGCAGTCGTAGCAGCAAAAGCCACAGCAGCAGCAGAAGTAGTAGCAGTAGCAGCAGTCGTAGCAGCAGTAGTAGC